GAGAGAGAGAGAGGGTAANAGGGGAGTTATTCTTCTTATTTTTCTTGTTCTTCTTCTTCCTCTGCTTTGAGCCATTGAAGAGGTTTGTGGTTAAGCTCTGGGATTTGCTGCAATGGATGGTGTTTTCCTCTTGGGGGAGGTAGGATTCATGAGTGGAAATGGTTGCAGTGTTCTAGAGAGGTTTTGTGGGTTTGTGTTGTGTGAACACGAGAGGGTTTGGAGAAGGAAAAAAAATGGGGTTGTGTGGCGCCGTTTTTTTTTTTTTTTTTTGTGGAGGTGGGGGAGGTGGGGTGGAGGACCTCTTCGTTTTGGGAATTTTGGTCTGGTCTGCTATTTGTAAGTGGACTTTTTGTTAGCATAGGCATTGACATATGCCACATATTTAAGTTTCAAATTTTACAAACAAACTAATGGCCAAAGCACCCTCAAACAGTGGTTTGGGGTGGCATCTAATGCACCTTAAGTTCGCAAAGTAATACCTGAAAGGTTCGGTCTAGTATTAAATGGAACTTGCATGCAGAATAATTTTCAATATCAATTGGCTAGAAAATCTCTTACAAGAACCGTAAAATAATCCAATAGACTATGGAAAATTTTATTCCCCAGGAGTCATCACCAGCAATTGAAATGATGGAAAGTGATGGAAAATAGAATGGGGCCTATCATTGCAGATCATGTCCTGTCTTGTTGGCTCCCACTCTGACTCCATCACCATTCATCATTTTATTCGAATGTGGTGAACTCAATGGAGTATGGAACTACAGCATACTTTAGCTCCTTAGCACAATTTCACAAACAAATCACTAGTAAGTGCTTACAAAACACACTACCCCTAGTGGCAAAAAACAAGATACGATTAGATACAAAAAGTTACCAAATGAATAAACAGATGAAATAACCCGAGGGGCTTGTACAATACTAACAACCCTCCTCGAACTCGAGCATAAAGAATGCAATCCAAGAGTTTGCCTTTTAGGGAACAATGTCGCATGACTAATAATCTTATTGGACAAGAATGTTGCTTATTGGCCAAAATATGACAACGAATGATTGCCACAAAATGGAAAGTTCTCCAAAAATGAAGGGCAATCCATTCAATATCCATTGCTTTGTTCGAACATATGCTTTCAATCAAATCTGGACCGCACTACCGTTACCAAGAAAGAGCTCAGAGATGAAAACTAAGATTTCAAAAATAATGTAAGGCATACAATCTCACTGCAAACATTGTACAGTCTTATATTTCACTTTTGCACTAGTTTTAAGCGTCGAAATCTGTGTCAGTTTTCCACAAAATAATGGGTACTTAAGAAAGCAGCCTCTGAAATAATAGGGTAGTAAAGAAAGCAGTCTCCCATTGGTAGTTGACTGTAAGTATCCTCAAGCAACATCAGACAAAAATACACAACATCTAGCCATGAATTGAGTTGAAAGTCTTTGGCATAGAGACCAACTACTATGGCATTATAATCGTCGTGGCAAAATCATTGAACTTCCTAAAGCATTAGCACCTGCAACCAGGTAACTGGCCATGATAAAATACTGGTGTTCCTTAAATTATAAAAAACGAAACGAAAAATAAAAGAGAGTATGGCTATATAATGTTATGCAGGTCAAAACAGTAGACCTCCCAATGAGCTGAAGCTTAGGCTAGATACTTATACCAAAACAGGGATTTTAGAGTGGTTCACCTTCCTAGTAAACTTATTATTTACATTACCGAAGTTTACATATCCACAAAAAATACTAAAAATAATCATCCAAAATGAGGAATAGATCTTATGCAAGACATAAATCAAAGGAAAAACTAACGAAACCAAAGAAATAGACCCTGAATTACAGAATGCTTTAGATTTTCCAGCTATTTATGTTTCATCCACCAGTAAATTTGGTAAAACAATGTAACTTAAATGGTTCAGATGGATATCACCATCATCATCAGATGTGCATATGATCACATTAAAGAGAAAAATGGTAGTTATTGAGAACTATAGTAAGATTAACAACTTTATATTGCTACAAAATCAACTACAGTGCCCCCTGAGATCCAGAATAATCAAGGAAACACACATTCATGAAGAAATTCTACTCTTTACATGTTCATTCATTTAGATGACTGGATAATGTACTTTCACAAAAGAAAACTATAAGGTCTGATATATTTCCCTTCTTATGGGGATTTTTCTTTCTTTTGGCAACATAATCCAAAGTTCTACCACATTACTTGAGCAGCACCTGCCTAACCCAATTAACTCAGCTCAGAATCTCCTGAGTCATGTTGGAGCCAATTAAAAGGCAAAAAAATGCCTCAAATTTGGAAAAATTTCCGAAAACTTCCCTGAAAATCATAGAAATCAGTAAAAATTTACAAACAATTTTAAATAATATATATACATATATATATATATATTATGTTAGCCCACTAGATGTTGGGAGAGTAGAAGCCCAATGGCCCAGATTGAATCTAGGCTGATCCGATGGTCACGAAAATATTCCGTATTTAAATTTTAATTTTTCTATAAATTCAAATCACTTAAAATTTAGAGCATCACCTAATAAAATATTAAAAAATAATTTATAAAAAATAAATTAACCAAAATACCCCTGAAAGTAGGTTTGCCTATTTTTCAAGAGTAGATGTTCAAATTTTCAAATGAATTGGATTTGTAAAAAAAACATTCAAATTCAAATAAGAAATACAATCGTGAGCATTAGATCGGCCCAGTTTGAATCTGAGTCGTTGACGTTTACTGTAGCTGTCAGCTAGCAGGCTAACCTTTGACCCCAGAAAACGATGTTTGTAGTATTTTTATGAACCCAAATTTTGCACATACACTCTTCATCCCAATTATCAATCCCCAAAACAAAATAAAAAAATTCAATTTGCTCCCCTAGATTTGGTCAAAATGAGTCTCCCCCAACAATGGAACTAGACCTCATTTGGTGAATTTCTAGATCTAAGCCTTCACAAATTCAAAATCATTTTTTCTTTATTGAACATTGCTAATCTAATTATAATAGAGCTATATAAAAATTTGGAAAGGAAAAAAGAAATCCTTCTGAGGCCTAGATCTAAGCATCTCACCATAATAGACGACCTATATTAAATGGAATAAAAAATATTTTCTATAGTGTATTTCCAAATTTTGGTTTTTTGTGATTATTCATTAGAATAAAAAGAGCATAAATCTAAAATTTGGGATCAAAGAAATGACCCTAACATACTTTTTTGAAGATTGTTTCATTAAATAAAGGGCATGGTTTGTATAGATCCTAGGCTCTAATCAATCAAAGTAAAGTGCACCTTCAAATAGTGTCGAGAAATTTGTTTTTATTATTGTAAATCTTTGTGATAGCCTTAAAATATATTTTCATCTTTAATTATAACAACTTAAAGCTTCAAAAACAGTGTAGACCGAGTAGATCTATGAAAACTTGAAAATCTTGAAAATCGATGGTCCAAAATGCATTACAAGATGCACTATTTCCAAAACTTGAAATCCATTTTTTTCTCATGTCCATGCAACTTGATGTCGAGATGATCAATTTGGGGATATTTGGGCATCAAAACAATCTCTTCTAGTGAAATTTTTGAGGTGGACTCTAATTTGATTGTTTAGAGCCTCGGCTCTATATAAACTTTTTCCTTAAATGATATATGTGAAATTGATGCAATTGGCCGGAAAAACAATAAAAAAAACAAAAGTATGAGAAAAATAAGAAAAATAAAAAATCATAAGAAATTGTTAAAAAATAAAACAGTAAATAGTCATATACATTAATCAATAATATGTATGTTAAAATTATTAAGAAAAATGTTAAACATATGAATTTAAATTGAAAAAGAAATGAATTTAACCCAAAATTTTGATGTTGACCAACCAATCTTCGCACTCGGTGCAAATCAAAACCCCCAAACCATTTTTGGATTTGGATCTAGAAGATTTGAAAGCTTAAAAATTCAAATCAACAATAAATCTGAATTTCAAATCTCCCAAATCCCAATTCTTTTGATTTTCTTTGTGAAATCCAAGCCCATGATCACATCAAGAACACAAAATAGGCTTAGGGATCAAATTTCATCAAAAATTGACCATCGGTTAAAATGAAATTGCAATCTTTTGAAATTGGGCAAAAACTTGACCAAATTTTTCAATCTAAAAAATCTATCGAATTTGATTTTCTCAAATCTAATCTATCTAATACCCACCCCCACCTCCCCAACCCCCCCCCCTTCCCCCCAGTCTTTCGTGCAACTTGTACAGTACTCAAGAGAGAACTTTAGAGACTTGCCTAAGTACCACACAAACTCGAGCGAGTCAGCCTGAGTGTTCTACTCAAGCAAATTTGCAAAATACTCACCCAATTACTGTACAAGGTACCTTTAAGTACCCTATTCTGAGCTTGACAACCTGCCGAGCCCAGTAACCAGCATGAGCCCGACTCAACTCGGGTGCGTTTTTAACACTGATAAAAGGAAAATAAAGCCATTAATTCAAAACCATTACTCTTAAAGCAAAACAAGAAAATGACTACAAAAAAAAAATATACAAATAAAATGAAACTAACACAGATCAACCAATCTAAACCATGATTTTAGCATTTAATATGAGAGTTCTTGTAATTTATGCAGATAAAAGCCATATTCTTAAAGAAAAACAAGAAAATAGCTACTTCAACAAAAAAACAAAAAAAAATGAAACCAACACAGATCAACCAATCTAAACCATGATTCTAGCATTAATATGAGAGTTCTTGTAATTTATGCAGATAAAAGCCACTAAAATAGCATCAAATGGATAAAAGGCATTA